TCATGGTAATTGTACAAATCAGTACAGATATAGATAGGAGGCAGAATTGTTGGAAGCCAAGGATAATTGTCAATGAGTAAGAGAGATTGCAGAACTGCTAGTAGTAGTAATGAAAAATGTGAAAAGCAGTAACTTGAAACAACATGGGAAATCCAAGAGGTGGTTCTGAAAGCTATTTGACGATAAGGAAGTAAGAGGTAGATGAGAGATGCCAAAGGAATAGAACGTATTTAGAAATTAAGACAGTTGTCATGGCTGTCCTATTAGGTTAACATGCTTACCAGTAAGGTAAACACTTCAAGTATCATGGCATGAAGTGTTTAAAAGTTTATATTTTTTAACTATATTCATTAATTGTGATCAGAGAAAAGAGTTTCACAAACCATCTTGGGCAGCAAATTGCCATAATCCACAGCAGATGCTGTCAGAGGAATCTTCAAGTAAACAGTTTCCATGTTACTGGAGATCGGCAGTGACTGTAACTTTAAAAAGTATTTCGAAAGGACATGACAGTTGGTGTAGTGATTAGAAATTATAGTAAGCATATAATGTTTCTAAAGCATTTTGCTTTTTCTTTTTGAAGTGGATAAAATGGTCTTTGCACATTTATCAAATTCACCTGCAGCATTGACCCTTTGGAAGAGGTAATAGCATACAGTCTATTCAGAATCAGAGCACTGAAAGTGTTGCATCTAATAATTCGATTCTTTGTAAAACCTTTTTGAAAGTCAAAGCTCTGTGGGATTAAAAAAACCCACTCTTTATTATTGATGGGGTTATAGAAGGATCCTGTGCAGAACTGGAGAAGATGCAAGGGACCAAATGTAGCATTGACACTTCCATTCTTACTCTGGCCACAGTTATCCCAACAGATTCTAGTTGGGAGAATGGCTTTCATACAGTGATATTGCCAACTGTGGCCTCAGAAAAAATATTTCTCTTAGCTTTATGTCCCAAGCCGCTTCCCGGAACTCAGCTCAGCCACATTTCCTGGAAGTATCATTTGAAGAGTTGGTCCAAAGGCAAGTGAAATTGCTGTGTCAATTTATTGATGAACAGTGTCAACATGCAATCTTAATATATGTACATTCTAAAGTCAAAGAGCATTCTCAAGTCCTGTTAAAAATGTAACACAAGAGCAAATGAATTTACAGGATAGGCAAGCAACTCAGCCTTTGAATGGAGAGAGACCACATGCTGGTGAACAGTTCATACGTGATTCAAAATAAACATGGTCCTTGTATCAGAGGAGCAGAGAGAAAGAGCATTATGGAAGGAAAGGCTGTTGTTCTGCCCACCCTCAAGGGTTTGTGGTTGCTAGTGGTGGAGGGGTGGAGGGAGTGGAATTTTATTCTGGCTGAAGAACTCTCGTTCTTATGAGAAACAGAAATAGGAATAGTATTTCACGCCCCAAGAAATCTCCAACAAGTGTAAGTGAGAACCTGATGGCTCCATGATACCTTGATTGCCAGAAGTGTCTCTCTAGAACTGTTTAAGGTAAGAGTGGGAGTGCTGAAAGAAATGCCAAGGAAGAAGTAAAACTCCTGAAGCTCAAGGGAGAGAGGAGGGTGAAACACTTCAACCAAAGTTAAGGTGGGAAAAGATGAGCAACTGGGCAAGTGTGTACATGTTCTGAAAGGTCATAAATGAGCTTTGTTGTTTTGATGTGTTCTTTGCTAAATGAAGGTGAGATTCAGAACCATGGTTTCTGTTCAGTGTAAATCATTGCAGATCCACTTAAGACAGATGCAAGACTGGCATTCTTGTTTTCTGCTCCTAAACGTTTTCTATGGTGACTAAATGGACTCTTGTGCAGGCTACAATTCTGAACTAAAACGTACTGTAGTTTTTAAAAAGAAAGCAATCACATTATTGTCTATGGGACACTTAAGGTGGCTCTGTTAGGATCTTCAGCGTTGCCTATTTGTTGACTTAGTGTTTCAAATGTGTTAAAGGAAAAAGTGGTTGATGTCATCTCCCTATTAAAAGAAGCCAATAGCTTCAGTTGTAAATGCAGATGGAAGAAACGGAAATAAATTATAGATATTAAACTTGGAAGAAGAGCACTTAGATGCTATGCCGGTGGTCCACAAAGCTGCAACCATTTAGCAAAATTATGCTTTTACTTCCTTAAAGTAGATAAGCAAAACTTGCAGGTTCCCAGTAATTTTTTCCAGTCACAACTGTATTTGCCAAGATACGTCCAATAAAGATAAGAAAGATAAGCAGCTATTCTTGGGATTGGACAAAAGAGTGGCTTGCACTTAAATAGCTGTGATTCAAGGTGCTGTCTTATTGTTTACTCCAATGCATAGATGTCTTTCCAATTTGTGCATGAATTACAAGCATTTGTGTTTGTTTCCATACTTTTTCGAATGGGAAAAATTTTGTAGTACACGTAGTTGGTACAAATGGGCATGCTAACCTAGTGCTTCAGATTTTGAATAGGATTTTTCCAAAAATGCTTTTGAACCAGTAAAGGAACTGAGGGCAGGCAATGTTTCTGTGCTGTTCGTGCTCCCTCTACTGTTTTTCTGGAAGCATGGAAGAACGGGAGAATACAGCTGGCTAATGTACACAGCTGCATGAAAAGCAGACTTGATGGAATAATAGACTAAAGGTCACAAAGATTGAGTGGAAAACTGAATCTCTGAGCTGGGATCTTAATGCATCTTCCTGACTCCATTATTTGTAATGTAGTCTTTATTATATCACCTACAATTTTCAACAGAGCTTTGGACTTCTGAGTAACTGTTATTTAGTGTACTTCATCAGTTGCGGAAATTAAAAGCCCCTTAAGAAATGCAGTAGACCTCTGGAAATAGAAAAAGGTTTTAAGAGTAAACAACTCAGTTTTAGTGTCCTCTGTCTTCCCAGTCTTTGAAAGTTTTGTAACTTCAGTGATAATGTTACAAAGAACATAAGGGATAAAAATAGTATTTAATGAAAACCAAATTTTATATTACAGGCAGTCCATATGGCTTTCAAATATTAAAAATATAATTTTTATATATATAAAAATATGTAGACTGATAGCAAGTTGCATGTATATACCTACACACACACATAACTATTTTGTTTAAAATGAGATAATGGGGATATAGTAGCATATTCTGAATCTCTCCAGATTTATGTTGAGCCTGATGAATGTTAATGTGCAGTAAAAAGGGGGTGAGAAACTGCAATGAGTGGATAATGTTGGTCTTGTTAAAAAGAATCCTGGCAAAGATGCTGTTCGGGAAGTAAGCCTCGGTTTCATTAATTACGTCAAATTGCTGGAATGCTGATATGAAAAACTTCCATTATTGCCCAGAAAACAATAACATCCTTATTTTCTGGCTAGAAACAAAAATGTAGTAGTTTTATGAAATTGTTCGTATTGCTTGATAAAATTGTTTTTAACCTATTGTCAAACTAAAAGCTAAGCAGTAACCATGCAATAATGATCTGAGTTATTTGTATAGTCAGTAAGAAGACTTAGACCATTATTTAATCAAGATTATTATGAAATATTTCAGAAAAGTTTATAAACAAATTATAAAATTAAAATGGTGATGAAATTATTAAAAATGCTGTATTTTTCACTTCTTTTAGAATGTACTACTCTACAGAACGTGATAAAGGGTCTAACACAAACCATTGAAAACCAGTGTAACATGAAAGGTAATAGCAAAAATGCTCTTGTATATACTGTACTGTAATTTAGAATGAGAAGGCATATTAAATTTTTTGTTCATATTGACTGTTTTTTTCAGAGAGAGAAACTCATTGGCGGCCAAACAGAAAGGAAATAAAATGTGTCTAAAATCAATCTTGTGCAGATTTTGGTGATCTATACACTTATGTCTATTGCTATTATCCTACTTAGAATCCACATGTAAAAGTTCTGCCTCAGTGAGGCTTTTTTAATCAATAGCTGGGCTTTAAATTTATTTCAGCATAGCACAATCAATTTTACAAAAAGTCAGAAAGTACCATTCAACCATTAAAAAGCGTTTATGCATAGTCTTTGTCACTTTGTTAAACCAGAGTCTTAATCCCCAGTGTAATGTTATTCAAATTTAGCTGTTATCCATAAATACTTGACAATTACTCATTGCCAATTTAAAATAAAATACATAAATACTTGCTATATCTTTATACCACAGTTTAGCTGTATGCTGTGTAGTTAATTTTATTCCCATTGTGTGCTCAATGCGTATTAGCATAAACACCAATAAACATCGAAAAATTGGAAGTATATGGCTGCTTTTAATACTCAAAGTGACTTTTAATAATCAAAAAAAAGCATTATCTGCTTTTTCTAATTCCTGTTTTTGAGATACTACTTTCTAGTTTTGGTGAAACAAGTACTTAGGTGTTGCGTCTTCCAATTCAAAACTGTAGTAGCCATGTTAATAATCTTTTATTTTCTGAGCTAAAGAACTTTGCATCTAGATTTTTTTGAATGCATCATGTTATCAGAAGGCTAAAGACAGTTCAAAATAGTAATACCATTTAATAATAATATTATTATTAAACTATGAATGTTCTTGTTAACAAAATGGAGACTGAAATTATGTAGTTCTGTAAATGATGATTATCATGCTACTAAAAAGTTTCTCAAAGTTCAGACAAGTCAAAAAATTAAAGTAATTTACTTATTCTGCTTTCATGCTAATAATACTGTCAAAATGTACTTTTTAGTGTATCGTCTTTTTTTTATTTACATAGATGAAAATGATAGACTGAAGGGTACCATTCACATCTTGGAAGAGAAACTAAAGGCTTGTGAACAGGTACATCACAGATGATCATTCTGTAGGTAGAGGAATAGTATTTTATCTCTGTTGTAGTAGCTCATATACCTTTATATTCTTGTGTTTGCTACTGATGCCATTATTGTTGCACTTTTCCTAACATTTATCCTGTGTAAAAAGAGTTGTTCTCATGACATCAGTATGAGGATGTGTTAGAGGGACTAAGAGGTCAAAACCACTAAGTGCTGAGAACTCTGTCTCAATCTAAGATGCACGTGGGGTTTTTTTAGCTGTATTTAGCTTTAAATACACCTTTACATTCTAAAATCTAATCCCTTGCATTAAAATACATTTTTGTGCAGAAATAAGGTTTTGATATTCACAATGCCTGCTGTACTGCCAGGGAATCAAGAACTGTCTGAATTTTGTCTGTAGTTTCTTTAGGAGTAAATGATACAAAGAAAATAGGTCTCTGTGTCTCATAATAAATTCCATTTACCATTTCTCTACTTTTTATCTATGCCACTCCTGTTTGGAAAGGAGGTAACACCAGCAGGGCTAGTCACAAGATGCGTTGGTTCTCAGTGCTAAGATTGCACGTCTGTTACCTGTATAGGACTAGGAATCTTTCTGCTGATTTTCTTTGCCTGTGTCTGTACTAACTGTGAGTTAAAATTAAATTTTTATGCCAATAGAACTGTTGACAGTTTGAGAATAAATAAGTAATGCCTTCTGAGGAGGAATTTTCACAAAGAAACTATGATTCTATACATTATGCAGGTGTATGGGAGTGGTGGAACTTCCTAGTGTTGCTCTGAAGGCACTTCACTTGACTGTGTCCATATATACTATTCCCACCAAACAGTGGGAGTGGCCTTTGTGAGTGCCACGAGCCACTGGTGCGTGGCTACCTGCCTTGTCAGAAGGCTCCCACAAGAGCTTTGGCATAAGCACTTCTACATTGGCAGCCACAGCCAATTCCTCAATAATTCTGGAGAACTTACTGGCGCAAATGCCTAATGGGCATGCTCAGTCTGTTTACTTGAGTGTCAGTGCCACCAGCATCACTACTGCTAATGCCATGCATGTTTCTATGGCTGCCAGTATGAAGCTGTGGAAAATGTCGTATAAGCAGTATTAACAAAATTCATAGTTTAAATACAGTTTCTGTCACACAATCTTACAGTCAAAAATCCACAAAAGTAAAACTGTAGTCACGCAACTAACTGCAGCACTGTGTCAGATCCTGGACTTGGGAAAGGAGTATTACCTCTCTACTTGCCTGTTCTCCTAGTAAGTACAACTTGTAATTTTAAATTAAGTGACAGCTGTAATACAATGAAATCTGCTACATTTTTTCATCGGTGGACTTCAGCCAGATTGTGTAAGAAGTAACTGGGCATTTTGAATTTACTAGATCAAGGCTAAAACAAGTACGGAATTGCAGAGTACTGTACATTTTTACATGAATGTTGTGCTTTGCAGAAGGCTAAGGGCACAGGCACCTCGGGATTTTTATGAAGCTTTTTACATTTGCAGGAATATAAAGATCAGATTGAGAAACTTATGGTAGAAATCAAAAACAAGGAGGAAGACCACAAATTAGAAATAACACAGTTGAATTGCGATATAAGAGAAAAATGTAAGTTCTCTGAAGACTTAAGTGCTATAGCACTGGGTAAAACATGTTGTAACCTGTAGGAGCTGTGCTTCATCTAGGATGAGTACAAGTTCCACTTCTTAATGGAAACATATGAAAGCTAGAGGTGGACAGTGTTTAATTTAATTTTATCTTTGCTCAAGAGAGTAGACAGTGGCAATGAGGCAATAGTACAGCAGCACAGGGTGAGCAGAAATTCCCAAACACGTAGAACAGACACTGGGAACTTGGACCTAAAAATCTGAAAGGGTGAAGTTTGGGGCTGACTGGAAAATTGCTTTGAACTATCAGCTGGACTGCTGTTAGAGTGTTCCAGCTATGCTCGGGAGACTCAAACGTTATTTTCACAAATAAATGATACTGCAATGAGAAAAAAACCTGATTTTTACATTAATTTTTTTCATTACTGGCATAGTCTTGAAGAGTAGGATTTTTTGGTCATCCACTTAGCTGAAAAAAAGCCAGACAAGCTCTTTGTAAAATACGATGCTTCTTTAAAGAGACTGCCTTACTGGGATGGGACTGGGTGGTTTTCACATACTTCTGAAGTATGTTTTTTGCTTGAATGTAATTGTTTTCCAATGAAATACTGACCTGCTGTTCAAAAAAGTTTTAGGTTTTGGGAAATTATGTTATTTTTCCATCTAAACATCTTCTGTAATGATTGTATTTGGTGTCACTGTATTACTAGTTGAAATAAAAGAAGCGGAGTATAGAGAACAGAGAGAGAGAAAAGAACTGGAAATATTAGAGCTCACTAGACAGCTGAAAATTCAAAATGAAGAGAAGCAGAATGAAATAATTAAACTGCAGATAGAGGTATGCATTACAAAGCTGAGTTAAAGATCAGTTGGGCATTGGATAAACTTAGAAGAGACTGTGCAGCGAGAAATGTTGATTAGTATTTAACAAAGTAATATGACGGAATCTAAGAAACTTCAAAAACAGTTGTCTTTACAAAGATCAGTGGCCTGTGCTCCCTTCCCTAATGGCATCTGAGTCGCTGCTGCTCAGGAGTAGAGTTCTACCCGTTGTACAGGGAGACTGAAGTTTGCCTTGTTCTTGTTTTAAATTAAATTATTTTGAAAATTTTGCTAGGTTTTGAGCTATAGAAAAACTAAGTTTTCTGCTTATTTTTATTCTTTTTAATTTCTGAATGCTGGGAAGACATATATTTTTATAAACTGCCCAGAGCTTGAAGTTGTCTAATCCTGCGGAGATTCGACTCATAGAATTCAACATGCATTTCATGGCTCAGGTTTTAAGCCACTGTCATTACAGAAAAAATTAGGGAAATACTTCAAATATTTCACATATCAAAAAGAAGTAATATGTGAAAGTGTTCAGGCTGAGTTACCCTTGGAACATCAGGGAAGGGTGATGGTTTCAGAGGCTTTTAGCATCCTCTGCATTTCCTCCTCCTGAAGACATAAGGCTGTGGAGCCTTCAAAATTTTTTTTTAGTGCTCTTCTTGTTCGTCTAAATGTATTTGGATTATCATATTTGTACTACTAACTTTTTGCAATTTTTTGAAACATTCTTTTTTTAAGAAACAACTTGTAATTGCATTCTGTTTCAAATAAACTTAAGTAGATGCATTGTCCTAAGATTAAATAGTATGTAAGCTTGCCATTATTACTTTCAGGTACAAAATCTATTAAAAAAAAAGTGAAAATCATACTTGTGGCATTTAACATTCTTTTTTTTTCCTGTTGGGTTCCTAAGTGTTTTATCTTTTCCCGATTCTTTCAGTTCAACGCTAAATTAGCAAGAGTTCAGAATAAAACAACGAACGCGTTTTCAGAGGCCTCTGTCTTGCCACAAAGTATCTATCGAAGGGTAGGTGCTGTGACAGCCCCTTCCAAACCCCCCTTCCCTGGGGTTTTGCTGCGCCTGAGCTGCATGGGGGCCCTGGGGCGGGGGGAGGGCAGCGCCTTACGGGTCCATCTTACTCCCCCTCCCACGCACCCCTCCCACCTCTAGACAACAATTTTGTGTCTTGCTGCACTGGTGTTGGTAAAGCTGGGGTTCAACACCAAAAGCCCAGCTGTGAAGCGGCTGTGGTACAGAATTGTTAGCCTGGGAACTTAAAACAGAATGATGGTAATATAAATTATGTATGTGCACCATTGGGTTTGTGGGCTCGGGACTGCGGGATGTCACAGACGGGATCCTGGGGAGGTCACATCTTCGTACTTGTGTGATGCGACATACTGGGGAAAGTATTCTTAGTAGATTATTCCTCACTGGCAATAGCATGTTGTATTGTTACATAATTCTATGTGACGTTTAAGAACAAAGCCTTTGCTTGCATTTTTACAGAAGCTGCAGCATCTCCAGGAGGAGAAAAACAAGGAAATTGAAATTCTCCGAAACACCATAAGAGACCTAGAGCAACGTCTTCATAAAGGCCAAGACCCGCACTTCAAACGGAGGCGGTTTTGAGTAAATGACGTGAAGTATTTCAGTGGTACATACAAGGAGAAATAGAAACAGTGTATTTCAAACTGTGCCCCTGAAAGTAAAAAGAAGACACGAAGAAATACAGAATATTTTTTATTGAAGACGCTCTTGCCAAATATTCCAAAGACATGCCTTCTGTGTATATTCACGGCTACTTTCTTGCTAATCAGCATTCACAATAAGAAGATTCAGGTTTCGTAGGAGTAATAATTTCCCTATTAAACCATCATTAATTATCGTGTACGCTTTCAAAGCAGTTTTCCTTCCATGAATATTCTCTTCTTCATCCAGGAATCCTTCCAACAACGGTATTTTTACTTCAACTCGGTTAATCAAAAGTTAGGAATGCTAAGCTACAGACAGCTAACACAAGTGTAAGTGGTATACAACCTCACTAATCAATACCGATTTATCAAATGCAGCTCTGTTATAAACAAAGATAAACATTAAACCCAAGACTGAATTTGTTCTGCCCCTCCCTCGTTCTGATACTGGTGCTGATTCTGCATGAAGAGTTTTTAACGCTGCTTCTCACTTTAGGCACGATCTTACTGATTGAGCGGGGTTTTACAAGCTGTAGTCGAATGTATTAATGGACCCTGATACCGTATCTAAGCCATAAAAGTTAAGCATATAAATCTGTTACATGAAAATAATGCAATTACTGCTTATATCTTACATTTGAGATAAAAAGTTATTTTGGCACGTTGCTTAGGAGTAAGCTTTTCTTGTACCTAATTTGTATCCCCAGGTTAGAAAAAAAACCAACCCACCAACCAACTTTTGAATATATTCCACCTTCTTAATAAAAAAACGATTAAAATATCTCTTTTGGTTATCTTCTATTCTTGATTGCAAAAATATCAGACAGGCGCCCCTAGGTCATAGTTTATGCTCCTGTCCTCACAAATGCAAGCAGAATGTTAGAAGAGAAACAAGACAGACAAATTAATCAAGAATGCAGACACCTTCCCACTCCCACTGAAAAACAAACTACGGGTCAATGGAATTCCTTTAAGTGATGAAACTTTTCACCGATCTGACAGGTACGGCGCAATTCTAAGAGCACTGCTCTGAAAGTCTACTTCTTCGCAATATTTGAACTCTCCACACCTGTCTGTATAATTTTTAATTTGGGGCAATAAGAACACTTAATCTGTCAATTTTTCCACTCTCGCAACTGTACGAATTTAGGCAGTAGGACTCCCTCGTGTTTTTAAGGCGCTTAGTTTGTTTTTCAGGCTCAGTTTCCTGCCTTCTCCTGTCACTGTCAGGTGTCAGTGGCTG